AAGGTACTAAAGGCTTTGGATAACCTAAACGAGTATAACCATTTATTCATATAGTTCATCACGTGTCTTGAAGGCGAGTCTTCCATTCATCTCCGGGCCTCATCTAAATCTAATGGTAGCCACTCCTCAAGTCAATCTTTGTAAAGAATTTGGAACCTAGTAGGCTGATTGAGTAAGTCATCAAGTGTCGATATGGGGAATCGATACTTGATTATGATATTATTGATCGCTTAACTTGTCTATGTACATTCTTCATATTCCATCTTTCTTTGGTATTAACAAGCTTGGAGCTACATAAAGACTTACACTCTCTTTCATAAGTCTTTTATCCACCAAATCCACCACTTGCTTCTACAATTCCTCATACTCTTATGGGTTCATATGATATATAAGTTAATGCGGAATAATTCATCTTGGCATAAAATCAATAACGTGTTGTATGTTACGCATGAGAGGTAACCCTTAAAGTATCTCTTCGGACACCACATTAGCTAACTATATCGGTAATGATTTGACACCATCAAGAATAACATTTTGCTCCTTGTTCTCCTCCATGACAATAAGCACATGAGCTAGATCTAGCACCTCTATTAATTTCATGAACATGGATTTAGTCATGACCTTTTCTTGTTTGTTATCACAAATTACCGCAACCTTCTTTTTTATGGGTAGTAGCACAATCTTTACTCCATTCAAAGAGAAGGTATACGTGTCTCAAAAGCCATTATGCATAGCTTGATGATCATATTGCCAAGGCCTTCTTAACAATAAGGGGCACATCCATTGGTACCACATCACTCCAAACCTTATCAACATAGGTTTTGATAATGGAGAAAGGCAACACACATCTCTTAGATGCACTGATTTCATCCCTCTTCCGTAACCAAGTCAATAAATACGAGTTATGATGTTCAACCATTATCAACTTTAGCTTCTCCATTATTTAGGATGCCACTACATTCTCACGACTACCTCTATCATTGACAACTCGTACTTCTTACATGTGAGATACAACGAGTGTGAAATATATTACGTTTTACCTAATCCTCTTCAAAATCCATGTCCACACTCAATAATCTCATGACAACCTTCTATTCAATCAGCCAATTATGCAAAAGAAGCAACCAGATTCTGATACTAAATTGATACGGATTAAGAGAAGCTACATCCTATGGAAAGATCTAACAACAACAACAACTAATAAATCCTTAGGCTAAAATACCCAATGTATAAATTATCCCCAAATAGACTTCAATCGACCTCGATCAACCATAATCATGGACACATATAAACCCAAAATCTCCAAATTCGAATATAGGGTATATGCGATCACCAAGCAAGACAACTTTAATTTGGCTGAAATTTTTATATAACCTAGATACTACCCAAATTTATATGCACACCAAATTTTAGGTCAATCCAAATGTCCTAGATTTGGTTTTCAACTAGATAAAAATTTAGTTATAATAGGTTTTAGAAATTGCAATGATTTCGACACCCCAAAAACACAAGCAAATATATATATATATTTGAATTATTTTAAAGGAGTGAAAACAATCCCTTAAATAGATACTATCAAAATAAAATCCTTAGCCTTGGTTATTGGCGTGAAGATCGTCATCTGTTCGATCTGAAATTTTAACTAGACTTGTAATTAATCAAGTAACAAGCAAGTAAGCTAAAGTAAATCTCAATGGCTCACCCCTAAGAAGAAATCCAATACCTAAGTTGATTTAGAGAATACTTATGGAGTACATTCATCAAGAGTCCACTTGATGTAATTTTGATCTATACTCACCATAGTCAATCACTCTAAAGATGTGTTTACGACATCCTAGCTTAGTCCAAGCAAAGGAATTCATAAAACGTTACGGAGAATAACTCTCAAATTTTATTCAAAATATCATCCAAAACTTTTATGAGAGTAGTAAATAAGTTTGCTTAAATACTTACATACAAAAGCCACGAAGAGTAAAGTCGGCTAGGCTGAAATTTCCTCCTTGGCCAAATGGACCTTTCTTATCTAAGTTGGACTTATATGATCTACATTCAATTAGTACTTTAATCATTCACCCTAATTAAATATGGATTCACATGTTAGATGAACTCAAAATTAAATAAAGAGTCCTTAACAAATAAAGATCCATAACACAAAAAGATTTTCCATCTACCTAGGCCATATTCAATTTAATCCTTATCCAACAAGGAATTCAGTAACTCTAGGGACTAATTATTTTCAACCTAAGTATTTATAAATAAAACTAACCCAACTAATTAAAACATAATCCAAACAAATAAAAGATAATCTTAATAAGAAAAGAAAACAAAAATAAAAGGATAGAAGGTTAAAAGTTTCAACTACTTTAGCATGCCAAACTTTCATCCAAATGGGAGAGTGGATGCTCCAGCATCATCCATTTTGTTTGTTTTAAAAAGAGACTAGCCGTTACACGCACTACACTACGGGTTGGTCAAAATAAAATCATTTTATAATTTTATATTTAATTAATTTTTTATGTTTTTCATCAACTTTTTGCTTAAAAAATATGATTTATTTTTCTTTATGCATTGATTCTTAAATAAAAACTTGTAATAATTTAAAATAGAATATTAATCAAGAATTAAAAAATAACTACTTTAAAAATATATTTTTCATAAGAATGTATTCAAAAAATAAAGTTACAATTAATGTATATACTTGTATAAAAATTAATCAATAAAAAATTATTTTTATTTAATGCTGATGAGAAGATTAATTTTTAAAAATATATTTATTTACAAAATAATCAATAATGTTAGAATAAAAAATGTATTTGAATAATTGATTGGTTCCTATAAAAAATTACTTTAATTATTTTATTTCAAATATATTGATTCTATAATGTTATAAAAAAATATTCATAGCAAATAGTTGATGTTATGTGTCACATAGAGTTAAAGTTAAGTATCGATGAAATCGATGATTCAATATTTTTTTATAAGTGTTGATCATACTTAGTTGGCTAAGACAAGTTATCCGAAATATACTTCTAACATTTTAGATTAATATATATATATATTATCAATTTACTTTTTAAAAAAAAAAACTTGTTTTAAAATTTTATTCTAAAATTCAAATTTAGAGAAAAATTAATCATATTTACTAGTAAAAAAACTTTTATATAAAAAATGTTAATTGAATGAGAATTTTCTTTAAAAAAATAAAAATTTTTGAAAATAAATTTTAAATAGCAAGAGTAATATAACATGAAATATATGTTAATATATATATATATATATATATATATATATATATATATATATATATATATATATATATATATACTATATATATATATATACACACACACTACACTATGTAAAAAAATATAAATAGAATTTTTTGATGTTTTATAATTTTTGTATAAAAATTCTTAATTAAAAAAATCAAAGAAAAGAAAACAAAATCAAGGATCAGGCTCCCACGTTTAGGGCTAGAAGAATTACAAGTAAAAGTCAAAGTTGCTTGTTAATAAATTATATATCCAAGGGCCTAAAAGCTTGGCTCTAATTCCCTATAAATATCAATGGATTAATGGCATCATTGGTTTATGTACTCTTTAGATTTTTTTTTAATGTGATTTATATTTTTTTATTAGGTCTTTTTATTTTTAAAATGTTTTGTTTTTTCGATGGAATTTCGTCTAATTGTTTGAGTAAAAGTGATAGGTGAATCGGTATGTCGGGAAAAGCTGATACTTAAAATAACAAAAATTTATCACGTGTAATTTTTAGGTTTAATCGCATTAGACGTACCTCTATTCTTGACATTTTATTAATATGGCTCTTGTACTTTTTTTTTTTAATTCATCACCTACCTCTACTCTTGAATTTTTCTTAATGTGACCTTTTCGACTATTTTTCAACCAATTTTATGATTGAAACTGACACGTGGTATAAAAAATTCACATGGCATGTCAAGTCAAATTAAATTGCCATGTGGCATGCTAGGTGAGATTAATTTGCCATATGGCGAGAAAAATTATAAAAAATTAAAAAATTATATGAAAATTAGAAAATTAAAATAAAAATAAATAAATAATGGGGGATGCATCATGAAGAGAAATATCTTGTAAATGTGATCTCCAACCCCTAACTCATCCTTCCCAAAAGCACTAATGGACAAAAAAATTAGGGAATTACGGGTTAGGTGTTATCAAATCATCATTAAAAAATAAAATAAAAAAGAAATGGAATTGTAAGGTCTTAATTAATTTCAAAAATTAGAGAACTAGGACATGAAACTAATCATCTCTTCCTCAACAACTTTAACTGCACTTTTTACAAAAGCCCCCTATAAAGATTGTTATCACTCCTTTTAACCACATTAGCACTAGGATAATTCAATTTCATAATTGTAGGTGGCTACTTTAAACTAGGCACATTGTTTTTTTCTTTGGCCATGGTTAAGTTTCCATATGAAATCGGTTATAGTAAGGCCGAGTTACAATCTACTAGCAACTCCCCAACAACTAGGTCATCATCTTCAAAACGCTTGGAGGTATTGTTGGTGTTTTGATGAGTTTTTTCGGAGAGTATAAATGGTGGAATGGTAAGGGAGAGTAGTCATAGTCGAGTTGACTCAATGGTGGGGTTTTGTGAGGTACTTGTTCTTCAAGTTTGTTTGTGAGGTGCTCTACCTCTTCTAGATTGAAGATTCATATTCTTCAAAACTTCCTTTTAGTGCACTTTCTCCTCTCGCCTCCTCTAGATCGAAGATCCATGATCAAGAACCACGGAATTTTAGTATATCATAGAAATGGTCAACAAAAAAATTCCAAAAAAGAAAGAAAGAAAGAAGACACGTAGTGAATATAACAAGGTTAACAAAAGGTGATGGCTTCTTTACGGAGTTTGGGTTTCAATGGACTGGTTCATGTTCTTTGAATATGGCACTCGGTCATGTATCACTTCCAATTTCACCTTTTATTCTAGCTTCAATAAGATATAGTCATAGAAATATGGTTGGAATGGTGCCCACAAATATTCCCTCCATAGAGACTTTTTGGGGTTCAAATATGCAAGTTCTTCAAGGCTTGATTTCTTCACCATTGACATATTATTTTCATGGCATTGAGCCGGCTTTAAACCCAAAAAACTCAATTGAACCTGTTGATGAGAATGTTGCTCGTGGAAATGAATGTTAGGGAGAATGATCATGAAAGCAAGATAGGGGCTCCACTATAATGGAAGTTTTGATGAAATGTCTACGAGGATAAGAGATGCATAAAAGCTATTTGATGAAATGTCTATAAGAATAAGGGACGCAAAAAATTTAATGCAAGAAAAAAAAATGAATGCAAAGAGTGTGGCAAATTTATTTTTTATTTTTTATTTTTTATTTTCTAATTTTCAAGTAATTCTTCAATTTTTTTAATTTTTACGCCACATGGTAAATTAATTTGACATGGCATGCCACGTGAATTTTTTATGCTAAATGTCAATGTCAATGTCAATCGGAAAATTGGTCGCAAAATAGCCAAAAGGGCCATATTAAGAAAAATTCAAGAATAAAAGGAGGTGATGAATAAAAAAAATACATGAGCCATATTAAAAAAATATGAAGAGTAGAGGGACGTTTAATGCGATCAAGCTGTCATTTTTATATAGCAAGTTATTCTACATGTCATTTATTACCAAAAAATTTTGACTAAAATTCTATCAAATGGGTTATTTTAAGAAAATATATAGAATAAAAGGATCAAATAAATTAAAAAATGAAATAGAAGGAAAGCTAATTTGGAGTTTGAAATACACTAAGAGGTTAGTTAGAAATACATTGAGAATTTGCAATAATTAACTTGATGAAAGAATTAGACAAAAAGAGACAAAAGAAGCCATGATTAATTGAAAAGGAAAAGAATAAAAAAACCAACAAAAGAAGAAACAAAGCAAGAAGACAATATGACCAAGAAAGGGAAAAAAGAAAAAAAGTGGAGTTAAATATTGAAGAAAAAGAAGGAAATTCCAAATACATACATATATAGTCATATGAATAAAACATTTGACTCCTATCATCAATATAAAACTTAAGGTATTTATAAATAAGATAAATTTATAATCGAGTTTAATTTTTTAAATTAAATTATTATTCATTCTTATTTATATATTCCTCAAGTCCTCTCTTTGTCACTTAGACATAATCAAGGTTAGGTTTGCTAATTTTATTGCTTGAATGGCAAAAGCCCAACCATCTAGTTTCTTTTTTTATGTGATAAAATGAAACGTTGGGTTTACTACTTAAGCATTTAGGCCTAGAGTACCGAGCTTGGGTGCACGGGTAGAAAAAAAAAGTTGTTCCTTATTTTCGACAACCTCTACAATTTTTGGTGAGGTGGGTTCATCAAAAACACTTACTAGAAAGTCGGGTTTCTCAACTTTTGACCTCTTAAAACCAAATTTAACTCCTTTTTATCCAAAAATATCTCAAAATAATAGAAATAATGTAAAAAGAAACTTATTTAGAACCCGAAAACCCATTTTAATTCATATAAAACATATAAAAAATTCAAATCAAAATAAATAAAAAAATTAAAATATTTTTGAATCCCGATCTACTTCTTCCAACAATATCATCGCTTGCCACCACTATAAATAGATTTTACTCTTTAAAGAAAATGAAATGATGGCGAGGCTTGACCAACGAGGTGATCGAAATGGACCTCATCATCCCTCTCTCTCTCATGTTTCTCTCTCCTCTAAACATATAGGGACTAAAATGAACCCAAAATAAAGTTGCGAGCAAAAAAACAATGTGCAAAAATTAGGAACCAAAGTGCATATTTTCGACAAATAGTGTAAGTGCACAATTAATGAATAGTTATTTAAGGCACAATCAACAATGAATGAATAGGAAAATTAGAGACAATGATAAGTATTATTAGTAATTCCACACTTGGTGGCCCACAAGGGTTACTTACACAAACTATTCAATGTTGGAACTTGAACTTAAGACTTCCACTTCCATATATCTTAAGTCAACTCATTTACCACATTGTTTTATCTTAAGTCCCATTTGGCTGAAAGTTTGGCACCCTAAAGTGGCCAAAACTTTCAGCTCTTTATCGTATCTATTTTATTGTCTTTTATTTAATTGGGTTATCTTTTATTTATGGTTATATTTCATTTAGTTCAACTTGTTTTTAATTGTATGAACTTGGGCTAATGAATTATTCTTCTTAAGTTTTGGATTTTTTATTTTGTAATGACATGGTTGCATATGGCTTAGTGGGCAAGTTAATCCTTGTTTAATTTAGATCTTTATTTGTAAGGGATTCGTTATTTATTTTGAGTCTATGTAATATGTGGATCTAGATTTAATTATGCTAAATTAATAAATTCCTAATTAAAAATAGAAGATACAAGTTCAAGTCAAGATAGGAAAAGAGTCCTAGTTAGAAAAGGAGTAAAATTGGCTAAGGAGAAAAACTCACCCCAACCGACTAAGTTTAGGTCTTTTATGTGAGTATTTAATCACATTTTTGTGCTACTTTTCAGTTTAGTTTTTGATAAATATTTAAATAAAATTTGAGAGTTATTCCCTATAACTTTTAAGTGTGTCATTTGCTTGGATTGGCTAGTATGTCATAAACACATCGTTAGAGTGATCGAATAAGGTGGGCTTAGATCAAAATTGGGCAAGGTGGAACCTTGATGAATGTATCTTGTAAGTACTTTCTAAATTAACTTAAGTAATGGATCTCTGCTTAGGAGTAAGACAACTGGGGCTTTCTTTGTTTTATTGTTTTGTTTGCTTGATAAATTGTAGGTGGATTAGAATTCCAAATTGAATAGTTTCGGTCTTCATACGATAACTAAGGTAGGGATTTTATTTCGATATAAAATTTTGAAAGTAGCTATTTAATGAGTTTTTTTAATTCCTATAAAAAATTAAGAAAATAAAAAAAATATTTGCTTGTGTTTTGGGGTCATAGGAGTTGTAGAACCTATTCTATCTAGAATTATGACTTGATAGAAAATGGGGCTAGAGAGCTTAGATTGAGCTGAAATTAGGTATACACATTATCCTAGATATTATCTAGGTTGTGTTAAATTTTCATGATGTTTTGAGTTGTTTTGGATAGATAATGCATATATCCTTTTTTAGAATAACATGTGTGTGGTTTGGTGATTGTTGGATCCAATTGTGTTGGGTGTTTGAGGGTTGATATGATTGATATTTGATTTGTATTTAAGGTATATTTGAGGTTTGTTTGGGGTCGGTTTGAGATTTTTTTGTATGTTGGATATTTTGGCCTATGACTATTCAAGTGTTACTTGTTGTTTGAACTCTCTACAAAGCTTGGCGTCTCTCAATCCGACATCACTAAAACTTAGTCATCACTACCATGATATCAATATATTGAAATGGTTTATTGGAAAATTTGGGAGGATTGCAATTTTCATATCGATGTCTAAGCACATTGCGTTTGTCAAGGTCCTTTGGTATGATAAATCGAACAACCTTGATATGATAGAAACCATTGAGATTTAAAAAATTGAAACTCGAAGCACTATAAACACCATTTATAAGAAAGAAAAGGAAAAAGAAGAGAGAAAAAAGAGGAAACTAAACCATAAAGAAAAACAAGGAAAAAAAGGAACATAAACCATTAAAACAACTACAACCCACCATTTTTCTCTATGTTATTGAGCATCAAGCATGTGTTATTCTTTTCCTTTTTCTTTTTTCTTTTGGAGATAGCATGTTTGTGTTAGATTCTAAGTTTTATCTCGAGCTAAAACTCTTGTAACACTTTCAAAATGGCTAAAAAAGGGCTTGATTAACATTATTATTATTATTATTTTGAAAAAGCTAACAAGGTTGAGATCTTTGCCTTTGATTTTCTTACTCATTTTATTTTCTAAAGGTGTAAAACTTATTTAAGGGTGTAGAGGGAATCACTTTCAATTTGAGTATGGGTTTTTGCTTTTAATTTTTTTCCTCATCTTGCTTGTTAGTTTTGTAAAACTTGTTTGAGAGTGTAAAGGGTCATCATACCTAGATCCTAGATCTTAGATCTTTTGGTTATGGTTATTTGAGAAAAAAAAACACTAGAAACAAAAACTAGAAGTAGGCTACCAAACTGAAAAACGGATAGAAAAAATCGAGCAAAAAAAAAAACAAAAAGTTAAGTATGAGTTTTCGGTTTCGATATTCTTACTCATTTTGCTTACTAATGGTGTAAAACTTATTTGAAAATATAGAGACATAATACCTAGACCGTAGACTCTTTAATTATAGTTATTTGATAGAAAAGGCCTTAAAAATAAATGTTAAATGTATGCTAGTCAATCTTAAACGGATGGAAAAGCTGAAGAGAAAAGTAGGTTAGGTTAGGGTTTTGGCATCTATTTTATTTGTTATCTTGCTTGTTAATGGCATAAAAATTGTTTAGAAATATGGAGTGGTATCATTCTAAGTTTGAAACTCTTTATTTGTGATTATTTAAAAATAAAAGCCTTAAGAAATAAAGGCTAGAAGAGAGCTAGTTGGCTAAAGAAAAAAACTAGCTAGTAAAGTATAATAGAGTTGAAGTTTTTAGGTTGGACATACTTGTGATGGATATACTTGTAATTTTTTTTTTATCTAAAGGTAAGTATATTAAGAGATCAAAAAGGCCTGCTAGAACCGAGTGAGCCTAAGGTTACATACACTGAGAAAAGGGAACATGCTCCCCAAAATAACAAGGCTAGTAAAAGCGAGTTACAACCAAAAGGGATATTCGGAGAATTTGTCATTAATAGATTCGGTGAATAACTCAACAAAAGGTAACCATATATATGTATATGAACAACAATGTACATGAAGGCTCAAAAGCAAAACCTAAAAATATTTCTTGGTAGACCGAAGCGACTGATAGTCGGCGAGAGTACGCCAAAACAACCCTTCACTAGCTGCAAAACCCAAGTATCCATATCGACCGGAAGCTGCAATGGCTAGAGTTCACCAAAAGTATGCCTACTAACCCAAAGCCAAGAGATTATGATTAGTTTCATGGTAGTAGAAGATCATGTAGAAGATAATGCGAAATCGACGGAATGTACTATCCATCGAGTTCGCGACAACCTCGAAGATGTATTTGTTACGCTTCCCCCAAATTAGGTAGACAATAATGCGAGGAGACTCTTTTCATTCGGGCAAAGAGGTTCTTACGTTGATATGAGAGCCACTTGGATGGCACTCCTAAGGGTTGACATGCTTCTCCTAATGTTGAGCCGGTGCTTGACTTTGGACCACGAAAGCTTGTCCAACCACAAACAAAAAGAGATGGTTACGGGATTCTTCGACATGCCGAGAAAAAGGGTAGGTAGCATCTTCGGGAATGAAATGAAGACGATCCCTAGTTCGTAGCTTGCAACGGACGACCAACTATAGAATGAAAGCATGTACGGGTAGAGACCACTACTCCTAGGTCACTCGAACCGAATTTACTGCTCCCCTCTGCCTAAGCTGGTTGTAGGCATTCTTGGTGAATCATCCATCCGTGCCTTGTCAACTGGCCATCATGCATGACAGAGGCTATGTCTCCATATCTCACGATCAGCTGATCCTTGATGGCAATCATAGCCTTCCACGATAGGAAAGAATCGTGGAGAGCTCGTGATTCCCACATCGAGTGTCTTGTAAATAGTAATGATGGACCCATTGGATCCAAATCGAATCGGCCTTTGAATGGACATCCCACAACTTGTTTTGCAACGAAGGAAGCATTTTTAGCTTTGATATCAAATATACCAAAGCTCCCTTCATCCTTAGAGCGACGAGTTGCTTCCAAGCAACCAAAGCGAGTCGTATTTTTATGCATCACCTATCCGAAAGAAGTTTCGGTAGGTAGTAACAATTTAGGAGAGAAGCTGAAGTAGGGATGGGAAAGATGGAGAGCTAGAACTCAATCATGCCAATCAAAACAGATTTCGGTAGTTCCAACCTCCTAACAAACGAGAGGTGCTTGCCTATCCAACTTTGAATCTGCGATTCTAACCTTTGTAGGAGAGCGAAAGCGGTCGGCAAGGAGTCGATGAGGGCTCGAGGAATGCCCGAATAGCGAAAGGAAAAGATCCTGTCGTGAATCCCGAGTCTTGAAGAATAACAATCTAGCGTGCTGCTGCTGACACCCTCAAAGTAAGCCGACGACTTGGTGGCATTATTGGTAAGACCAAAAGTCCTGCTAAAGGTATTCGATTGCTTGGGACAAGTATTGGACGGAATCCCTATCACCTCGACAAAGCGAGAGTATGTCATCGGCAAAAGCAATGTGAGCGATTCGAGTGCATCACATTTTGGGTGAAATCGGAATGCTTCCCTATTGGTAACTCGCGTAAGCATTCGCGAGAAATACTCCATACGGACTAAAAAAGGTAGGAGGAAAGAGGGTCTCCCTGCCGAATACCTCAGTTACCGAAAAGAACCCAAAGTGATTATAATTGACGGCAACAAAGTAAGCGGTGACTCCACACATGTCATAACCAATTGAACAAAGGATGTCGGAAAGCCTAGTTGGAGGAGAAGTTCTTTCAAGAAAGGCCACGGAACATAATCAAAAGCTTTGGCAAAATCAACCTTGATAAGGCATCTAGGAGAAGCTCGCTTCCTGCCATAATGTCGCGGGAGCTCTTGGACCGGATGAATATTAGCTGCCATCTTGCGACCTCCTAGGAAAGCATTCGCATGGGGTTAATGATGTCGAGTAATGCATGTGCCGGCATTTTGGAGAGGAGCTTGGAGATGACTTTGTACACAACATAACAACATGAGATGGGCCAAAAGTCAACGGGACGAGTAACATAGGGCAACTTGGGCACCAAAGTTATGATTGAGTGATTGATTTGTTTCGGGATTTTCCTAGAGAGGAAGAAGTCCTTAATGGCATAACGAAATCAAGGCCAACTATGCCCCAAGTTTTTTGAAGAACAACGAGGAGTAGCCGTCTAGCCCAAGAGCCTTGTTATTGTCGATAGCAAATAGAGTAGTCTTTATGTCTTCATTGCGATAGGGTCGAGCGATAGGTCATTTATTCCTTAATCAAAGCAAGGCCTCGAAGCGATAACCTGCGTGTTAAGAGGGGTTTCCCTAGTAGAGTCGAGTGGATTTTTAAAGTGAAGAACAAATTTCTCCTCTACGGCGAGAAACGGACGTAGTGATCGGCCATTACTACACTTGAATAGGCTGCTATATAATTCCTCCGATGGTTCGACCCATTAGAGCATGAAAAAATCTAATGCTTGCATCAAAATCCTTGAGGAACTTATATTTGAGCTTACGGTCAAAGAATAACTTTTTCATCAATTTGAGATTAGCCACTCGGAGCTTCAGTGCTTCTTAGATTCTAAGAGGCGAGAGTTTGCCCTGTCATGATGAAGATCTTCTTAGTGAAGCTACGGATCCGCTTCGACTCTAACTACCCTCTCGATATATGACTGAAATGTAATTTGTTCAAACCCTTAAGAGGCCGCTTTAAAAGCTATAATTTTCGACAAAGAATAAACATAAGAGAGCCTCGAATATTTTTTTGCCAATGATGGTCAACTATGTGAAGAAAGCTATCATGAGAGGCCCACATGTTAAAGAATTTAAAGCATTTCGATTTCAAAAAAGGTTGGTCGTTCACTTGAATGGAAGCCGCGACATGATCGAAAAAGGCTCGCGGAGGGTTGAAATGGAAAAAGCGGGCGGCTAAAGCGAAGGCCATAGGGGATTGACCAAAACTCGTCAATTTTTGTCCAGACGGTACCTCTATTCAAAGTAAAGTGGGCTGCCGGAATAATGGAGATTAGACAATCCAAGTTCCGGACGGCACGAACGAAAGTACGAGGTCTCATAATTGGAAACCACCGCTTATTACACTTGTCATTTTGGGAGAGGATAGAGTTGAAGTCCCCTATAATAATCCATGGGCATTGAGGAGACCATCTACAAAGGTCATCCCGGAGCGCACGCACGGCAATAATGGTATGATACCCGTAAACAAAAATGGCTTGAAAACTAACACCTGCTCAACAAGGCTGGCCGATTCGGATATTGAGCCCTTGTGGAGAGGCAGAGAGCGGATCAATTGAGATTGTTGCGGGATTCCAAAAGAGAGCGATGCCGGCATATGAAGCTACATCGGCGTTCGATAAAAAGTTCCGGTTTCGAAGCGAAGCTTGTGCATTTAAGTAAGCTTTGGGGAGCGAAGCTTTGTTTCGATAAAGACACACACATCCATTTTCTTTTTCTTCATAAGGCCGGCTACCTCATATTGTCTCGGAAGACTATTAAGACCCACGATATTCCAACGGTAAACCAACATCAAAGAGTAAGGGTGGCGACCACTCGACTACCTCCACCCCTAGTACGCATTCTCTCACTCCGAGTGGTCATCCGTTGAGAAGCCCCATCAAGCCTCACATCCTTATGATTTGGGTCGCACGCACTGGAAGGAAAACCCGTTGCACTATTATCTACGACGTTGCGTGTTCTCATTTCGGCATACTGGTGATAGTCGAGCCACGTCCAATGCGTTCATGGCCATATCTTGGCTACCTCGAGGGCTAGAAACCCAAGCATGTGAGCTACCTAGGTCGTCGTGGCTTTCATCATTGTCACAAATATCAACCATTCCAAGCGCATGAGCCTTGCCCTTCCTAGGACCACGACATTGTTCTCCGATTAGATGAGGATCGGAGGAAAGGTACGTGAGGCCGTTGATTACGCCACTGAAGAATTAAAGCTAGATGGTCCCCCTCGTTGGATGCAACAACAATCTCGGAGTGCATGGGATCATATCACTCGGTCAAGGCGAGGAGCGAGAATAAGTGGCAAGAGCAAGACTAAGCCTTTGTAACACACTCGTCCTTTGACTAATTTGGGCCGACCACTATAACATTTGTCTTCTTGGTATTCCCGACGGGAACTAAGGTCAATTTTTTACAACTCGAGGTAGAATGCCCCGAGCACTCGACAAGATTTACAATGGATGGGTAAGGTCTCATAAACCACGGATTGGTGAAGTCCGGCCCCATTCGATAGAACAAGGCTGATCATCCTTGGCGGATCATCTATAATGTTCAACTCGATTAGGACTCTAGCATACGAGATTCTATCCATAGAGGTCATCAACTCGTCACGATGGATTGGTTTACCCGACGGACTCTAAATTTTTGATAAACATGACCAACATTTGAGGGAGAGATTGAGAAACTTCACCCACACTGGAGCCGTGGACATATCCCCATGAGAGAAATCAAAAAATTCGGCATAAACCTTAAAATCAAAGGTCTGTCATAAATCAAGTATGGACCTCTATTCAAGATGGCTAGCCTATGCTCTTTGAAAGCAAATTTATAGACTAACCGACTCGAGTCATATGTGGATAGAGAGGTCTGTACATTTTCAAGAGTTGCTTATAATGGCATTTAGAGCCGAAAGCACTGGAGATTTTCGACAACATAACAACCAAACATAGTTTCCACAAATCACGGTTAGAGTCATCGGCTAGCAAAGTACATGTTTGTTTTCGTAATACCTAAGAAATGGGTGAGTTTAGGACATAATTCGGGACTACGATTGTGAACAAATAAATCCCTCCATTTACTTACTTGAGGGGAGGCACTAGCTGGTGAAGATGGTGGCACTTCTACCATTGGTAGCGACTTAGTGGGTTGAAGAGTAGCATCCTGAGAAAGGTTTGGGCCATTGGCACCTAGGGCTTGGCTAGGCAACCGAAAGCTAGCGACTACCGCTAATGAGAGGGGGCGTCAGAAACCACTAACCTCGGAGGAAAAAGTTAGAGGGCGGCGTTGAACCATGAGGGTTGAACAAGTATAGATTTGGCGAAGTCAATAGCTTCCCCGATAACCGGAAGCTGGAAAAGGCGTTCGAAGAATTTTGATTGAGAGCCTTGCTCCCCATCCGAATGCGAGAAATCCACTACGTCTTCACTGAAATCTTCCTCTTACGAGCAGGTCCTCGACCTCTACAAGCTGTTAGGGCGACTGCGGGAATGATATTTGTGAAGGGGGGTCTCTTGGAAGTGCCACGATCGGCGACTAGGGTTTTTTGCATGAGGGGAGATGGGGAAACCAAATGCGTCGGAGGGGGACGAGTGTAGATGGAGCAGCAAAAGCTATGATGGGTTCCTCGGTATCACGCCCTATAGCGACCTTAGTAGGGTTGGTGCTAGATTTCTTTCTTCTTAACCATTGGAGAAAAAAGGAACAAATCATGGAGAGAGAAAGTGGGGAAGCGAGTGAGTAGGGAGAGAATGGCGTGAGGGGCGGAGAGAAGGCAAAAACCAAGTGTGAAGAATAGATCTATAGCGGTCCAAATAGTAACGAGCCGGATCTAGAGGGAAAGAGCTCCGTGGAAGGAGGAGAGTGTCTCTCTCTTCTTTCTCACTCTCGGCGCTCGATTGAGAGCTGCGGATATACTTGCAATTTTATTTAATGGGTGAGTGAATCTTATTTAGGGATGCGAGAAGAACATCGATAGTATAACCCATAGTTGTTTTCGATGTGAGTTCGAAAGAAAAACTAAAGAAAAATTAGCCACAAAATGATTACATAAGGGGTGTAAACATGATTTATTTTATGCATTTGTTGGTACAAGAGGTGTTATTATAATTTTTTGACGGCACGAGGTCACATAGTAAAGGCTTTTTGGGCATTTTAAACTTGTTGAGGGGTAAAATGGTAATTGTTCTTATAGTTTTTAAAGGATATTTCAATTTTTTCTAACATTTTTTGAACCAATTTTAATTTTATGATTTTTTTTTCAATTCATATTGAATGTTTCATATTTTTATTGATAAATCAAAGATAATTTGAAATGTGAACGATACGTCGTTGTATGTCAAACTCGAAGGATCCGAGAGCTCTTGCGATTTTAAAGAAAAATAAGGTTGGAATTAATAGTCTAGAATGAAGTTGGGTGGATGAGAATATAATTTTATTTCTTGAATTATTCGGGACGAGTGTTGGTCCCGATGTGACTTTGATTGTATGAATGATTGAACACTTGAATTCAAATTATTTCTAAATGTTATGCTAGATATGATTGATTACTCATAAATTGAATGCTTTTGTGAAAACCTAATTACTATAATTAGCAAGTCTTGCAAAAATGATTTATTTGACCATTATGAGTTTGGTATCTATTTAACTTCAAATTAGTTCATGAAAAATTATTTTTGCATTGTCGTTGTCTGCGTCTCCTAAGTCTTTCTTGAGAAAGCATAACTTCGAGCTTCTATTGTTTTTAAAACCTTGAATTTTGAGTTCATATTATTTTAAAATCATTTTCTTGAATATTTTTTAAGAAATCATGACTTTTGAGTTTACGTCATTTCTAAAACCTTAACTATTGAGTTCATGATGTTTTAAAATTGTTTTTCTAACTCTTTCTTGAGAAATCACAACTTCTAAGTTCGTGTCATGTTTTTTTTTTTTTTTAATCTTGACTTTTGAGTCATGTCTTTTTAAAATTGTTTACTTGAGTTTTCATTAGTTTTGACTTTCATGGATTAAGCTATCTATTTAAAAATTTTCCATCAAGACAAGTTAAATTATTTAAAAGAAATCATAAAGTTATTCACAAGAATGTAATCTCATTTTAAAAAATATTTGATTTACTTGATCAAAAGCCAAGATATATCATGCAAATGTCATGATGCAACCCTTAAGGTGATCTTTTTAGGGCTAGATGAGCAAAATGTATTTGCATCACATAAAAGTTTTAAAACGAAATCATTTGTTTTGGAAGGTGATTTGTCAAAAGTTTGGCTCATAGAGAGCGAAATGCTTGAATGGATTTCATGAACTTAAAATGTTTCGAAGGAAGTTGGGCTCAAATAGACGGTCTTGCCAAGAAAGACTCAATTCATTTCTTTCTTATCCCAATTACTTCATGAAAATTCTTAATTTTATGTCATAAATGATGGTTTGTAATGCACAAACAAGTCAAGTTTTATTCAAAAATATTTTTCTTTTTCTCATTTGAAGTTAGAACTCACCAATACAAATAAGTCATCTTTGATTAGAAAGGGCTTTCATAGACACGTAATGCGAGCTAAGGCTTTGGCTTATAAACAAAGAATGTAAAAAGCTCAAAAGGTGTTTGAGGGTATAAAAACTCAAGATCACTTAATCATGTATCAAAATCAATTTAGGCTTGCTGCCTTGACCTTATCACTTTCACAATTGATTTCACTCTTCATATCATTCAATATTCCTAAAGAATCACACTATATGTACCGTCATGACTTCACCATTTCGACAATTGATCTCTAATTTTATAATCTCAACTCTCTTTCATGCTCACTTTTGTCATTTTTTGTTAAAATTTTTAACTTTTCTATTTTAAATCATGAGAGGGGTCACTCTAAATAACACTCTTTTTATCTTAGTACTTTCACTCTCATTTTTCATTTCTTTTTTTTTTCAATCTCTTTTCTCTTTCAAAGTCGTTTCAAGGGTTTTCTTGATTTTTTTTTTTTTTTTGTGAATAATCATCCGCATCTCACATTTTATTTTTTCTAAGAGAATATCCTCGATTATTCATGAATTTTCAAAATTGCCTTTAATGTGAGAGGTGATCCTAGTCTAGGTTATCGTCGAAAGAAATTCTTAAGGTTCAAAGTTGGACGACAAGGGATAAGTTTTTTGTTTATAAAAAGATACATAAAGACATGGTCTTTCTTCATCTAAAATACGATACTATTTAGGTTGATAATCTTATTCCATTTAAAAATCATGATTGACTTATTGAGAAGCAATGGTGGGTTGGATAGGATCATAATCCAAATGTATATCACTCATCGTCATTTAAGACATCGAATCACTTGTTTTTCCATCTTAAGAATCAATGCATTATCATAAACAAGACTTGTCCTCAAATGATTTATAAAAAATGGAAAAAAAAGTGTTTTTGGTTTAAAAAAGAAGAATTGCCCCCTAACATTTATATGACATGTTTTGAATATTGATCAGTATTGAAATATTTTGAATGAATTTGTCATTTTATTTATTTTAGTTTGAGATGTCACAAAATGGGGAATGATACTTTTAAGTAAATATTTCTTGACTTTAGATTGATGATAAATTATGCTAAGATAGTGAGAGTTTCTTATCTTTTTTTTCTAAAGAAATGACCCAATTCATGAAAATTACAACACTTTTGAAAATGAAATCCAAAAATTTGATATAAGATAAGATTTCTTTCTCATAATCAAGACGTGTACGTGTTACTACAAATAGAAAGAACCTTAATACAGAACATGAAGAAATCTTGAACAGGGAAAATCCAAGCAATGCATCAAGAAAGATTTTTAATGTTGGTATTGTTCTTGATGAGTACTCTCACACACATTTTTTTGCAATCAAGATATATGATACATTTTTGCAATCCCATTATTCTCTCCTATGTACACGAGGTACATTTTTTATTTTATTTTATTATTATTATTATTATTTTGGCAAAATTTTCCTTGTATACAAAAGAAAATATTCCATGAGTTCACCACTTCTTTACCTGATAGTCTGATACTACTAGTAGTGTTTTAGTCCATCAATATTCCTTTACACATCAAAGAAAAGCATGTCATGGGGCTGATCTTAGATACAGAGGAATGTAGGTGGTCTGATCAGGTTCTGAATCCCAAACTGAGAATGCACTTGAACACCTCATCCATTTCTTTGTCATAGCCGGGAAATGGCGATCAATCACATCTTTAAGGGTCTCTGTCTTGTTAACCCATTCGAGGCCTTTCTCGGTGTAGGCTCGAGAGTTGAAATTGGTGGTGAAGAAACGATCAGCTTCTAGCCTCCTGATATCATCTATATCGATTAGCGAGAAAGACCTAAACATAGAGATCACTCTATTTTGCAATGTGAGATGGGATGGAGCCTACCTTGAGGCAATAAGTAAGAAGATAAAAAAAGCAGTTTCGGATATGGCAAAGCCTTTGATTTTCTTTTCTGCATGTAGGCCTATCAGCAAATCTAGTTTTTCGACATCATTTCCATACACATCGCGAAGAGCTTCTATAACTTCTTCATCATCTGTCAAATCTTCCCACTTGCTAATAGGAATCATCAGTAAGTTCCTTCTGAATTCGTTGTAACGAGCAACCCCTCTCTCCCTATCTCTATAAACTGATCAACAAAATCTTAATGGTTATACTTGATCATGAGGGAATAGAGCAAATACTCTAAGCAAGGCAATAACAAAATGAAGATGTTTTGAGTGTGCAAGTGACTTACTTTCCATGGCAGCCATATCAACCAGATCTGGCCTGTCTTCTCCGTTGATATCATGAGCAACAAGGTTTCTCATCCATGATGGATAGTTCCATAATGTGACAGCTCCACATGCCTGATGACCCATTGATATTAGCATCTGCTCCATTCCAACTTCAGACAATCTTCTCTCCCCTTCCTTTCCAGCCATTTCTCTCATGGGCACCCTAAAACATTATATAAAATAGAGGTTAGTCTTGGCCATCGAGAGTTTATACATCATTATGGCACCATTAACCAGTCAATTAGTGCCCAGATGACAATTACTTCTATCAATGGTAGCCTGGTAGGCGCTAGCGATTGGAAATTATGGTTGAAAACAAAATTCATAATAAACACCATGCTTGTAA